CTTAGTGCTGAGTCACTGGGAGAATGTTGGTGCATTTAATAGAAGGTCGCAGTGTACATAGGGTGATGGCAGGGGAGCTAAGTGGAATCAAAAGTTCTGAGCTAGAAAGATTTTTTTTTAAGTAAAAGATTATTTTGGGGAAAGGGGGAGTGAGAGAAAAAGAGAGAGAGAGGACAGAGGGCACAGGCAGACAGGTACTCTGGATGAGTAGGGAGTATTAGAAAGGGAAATACTCTATAAAGAGATTTTAAAAGCACTCTCTCTGGACAAGTTTCCGCAGTTAGCTAAATGTAAAGAATCTTCCATTGACTGTATAACAGCCAAGGAAGGAAAGGTCTTAAAAGGTCCACGCACTCAAATCATCCTTCCAGTATTCCATTCAACTAGTGAGATGCTGCTGTTGAGAAGGAGAAGGAATTTCGTAAGATTGTTGAATCCTTGTATATTTCGTGCTCAGAACCACTCTCCTTTCATTAGATTTTCCTATGATGTTTTGAAACTTCAAAGGAATCATTTTATAGTGCAAGTTTGACTGAAGAGTTTTTTTTCCTCTTGTCCTTATCAAGGTTAGAAAATATTCCTTTTTATGTAAAGACTCTGAGGGATAATTACCTCAGGGAATGAACTTGGAATGCTTTCTTTTGTAATATATATGCTAAGTTTGAACTACATTATAATTCTGGAATTCAGAAAATAGAATCACATTCAGCACGGCTCAATAAATGTTAAGACTGTGATACTCCAGGTAAAAATTCTTTTATTCACTTGAAAAAATGGAAATAAAATTTTTTCATCATGTTTACGAGGGATTTGATTTTTGTATTTTTTCTGCTGTTTGCCATGAAAGCTATATACTTGAGCTTTCTGTTCTTTAGAATTTCTTGCACTTTCTATTCCGATAAAAAAAAAAAACTTGAGTTTTGCACATTGGTCCAGTTTTTACTTCTTAGTCATAATGTGAAAAACATCAAAATCTCACAAGGCGAATGTGTAAATGCTTCTTGAAAATTTGGAATAATATTATAAACAATTATGTTGCCAAGAACTTACTGTCATGTTAAGAATACAGAATTAATAAACTGTTCTGAGAGCACACATGTTATTCATCAAGATTTTCTCCTCCAACTATCTATTTCTTTTTTCCTCATTACTGAAGAAGTTTGGAAACTGGAATTAATTATTATTATTTTTTTTCTTTTGCTCGATCATATCCTTGGAGTTACTCCTGAGAATGTGTAACCTTGGCAAAGTTCAGTCACCTTCAGCCAGTTTTCCCCTAGAGCTTGGTGAGCAGGTCTGTTTTGCATTTGGCTTTTCTTTTCTCATAGGTACATGTAGCAAACACAACTGTGTTTATCTCACATCCTACAGACTTTAGTTGCTCAACTTAATAACACAAGATCTTTGTTATAGAGATCAATATATCTTTAAGATATATTTCTTGTTTAGAAAAAAGGGGTGAAAGGGGTGAACACTTGCCTAGTATATACAAGGCCCTGGATAGATCCCCAAAATTGTAAAGAAAAAAAAAGAGAGAGACATAAATGGAACAAAAGGGAAAAATAAGTCTAACTGTTAAAGGTTTTACTGTTATTACAAAGGTCACAAAAGGTTAAAGTGTTATTATGTTTGCTATGCTTTCTACTGCAGCAAACACTAATCCATCATTTTTTTTCTTTTGGTAAATTTGAATTTTTGGTAGATTTGTTAAAAATATGTGTTTAAAATCTTGCCATAAGTTTTTAGAAGTGACACTTGAAGAAAAGTACACATTATATTTAAAAAGCAAATATATAATTTAGTTTGAGCTCTTTCATCTTTTCTAAACTGCTTTATAACCTTAAGAGACTATGGTTTCAATTAGTGCATAGTATTTTTTGAGGATTTTATATTGTAATAACAACAACTAAAATAATACAAAATAAGTACAAAATATTTCACCCTTCTGACCATAGTAATCACTAAGATCTTATTATAACATAAGTTTTCATGATTACATACTTTTTACATATCAAATAGGTATATTTTTTATCTCCTTATTTAACTTTAGAACTTTATAATAATACTAAATAAAATATTAATTTTTTATATGGAAGCTTAATAAAGTTAATATTCTTTATAACTTGATTAGTAGTATGTTTATTTATTAAATTTAATTTTATTAAATTTATTGAAATTAATACTTTTTAGCTGGGGATTTAGCTCAGTGGTTCTGCCGCCTGCCTCGCAAACACAAGGACCTGAGTTTGATCCCTCGTACCAAAAAAAAAAAAAAAAAAAAAAGGTTAATACTTTTTAATGAAACAGCAAAAAACAGCAACAGAGTTTGTTTGAAAAAGAAAACTGAAGAGTGGAGGGAGAAACTGGCTCTGCAGAGCGAGCTTGGGCTGAGAAAAAGAGGAAACAGCAAGGAGAAAGCAAGCCCTGGAGGATGCAAGGAGGACTCTTGGGAAAAAAGCCAGGATAGTCTCTGTACATAAAATTGAGCCTTATTTTCATATTAGTAGAAAGAAGTAGTTGATAAAGCAACTTTTTTGAAAGTTTATTTACTTTTTTTAAAAAGGAACTCTCCAGAGTACAAAGTGAAATTACTTTTAATTGATTGAGCACTTGTATTGTGTCAGTAATTCTATACCAAATAGATGTATTGAACATTGGATAGTGTTAAAAATTATAACAGGCCATTATTTTGGACAAAGCTTCTGCACTGGGCCCCAGCTGACCATATTAAAAGTAAAAAGTGGAGTTGCCCATGCTTCTAAGGGGTAGTGTCCCGAGGGCCTTGAGTTGGAGTCTGGGACTCAGATTTCCAGGTCAGTAAGAGGGAAACCAAACTGAATACCTGATCTTTCGAGAAATCAAGATTACAGAGCTAGCAGCCAGATTTCCCCAACAAGCCAGTTTAAATTAGCATGATCATTAAGTTTCGATTTGCCTTGATCTACACAAAAAGATAACTTAAAGTAACTTGATATTAACCAGTCAGTTTTTGTCCTGTTCTGTCTTCATGTCTCTACTTCACAAGACAAATAACTTTAAAATGACTGGTCCACTTTGTAGTCTTTTGTTTCTACTTTTTCCAGCCTATTTATGTCTGTAACACTTATCTCTTCTGTTCAGCCAATAGTACTTTACAGTATTTTATGCAGTGAATTGCTGTTTGATTTTGGGATTGAAAATAAAACTGGTTGATCTGCCACCTGCCTTGCAAGCGCAAGGTCCTGAGTTTGTTCCCCAGTACCCCAAAAAAACCACAAAAAACAAAAAACAGTTTAGCGCGTTAAACTAATTTTTGTTGTTGGTTTTTTGTTTGTTTGTTTGTTTGTTTTTAAGACAGGGTCTTGCTGTATAGTTCAAACTGGCCTTGAGCTCACTATACAGTCCAGGCTGGCATAAAACTTTTGGGAATCCTCCTGCCTCAGCCTCAGTGCTGGGATTACAGGCATGCACTACCATGCCTGCTAAACTAAATTTTTGTCACCTGTCCTTTGACACTAGTTACTCAGCACTCTATTGTGTTGGGACAAAATGCACTTGAGGAGTTCTCAGTAAAGAAGTCATCTCTCTTTGAGTGTCAGATGGATACTAATAACTGTAAAATCTATAGTACAGTTCATGGTGTTTAAACCTCAGTGTATGTCTAATATTGTAGTATGCAAAAATTTCCTTATGCTTTTATTTCATTTTAGCTTTTAAACTTAAAGTTTAAAATTATTTTTAAACTTAAAATTTTAAAAACAGAGCATACCATATATCTTATTTTGTAAAGGCAATTGCTTTATTTAGTTAAATAAATTAGAAGAAATTTCTGAAGATTATTTATGCTTTTACCTCATTATTGCAACCATTATATATATACATTTAGAAATGTAGCCTATTCAAATCCTTGGGTATCATATTTTTTCTTTTTTTAAATTAAAAATGTATCAGTGCATGTATGCAGTACATAATGATTACATTCATCATGGGGAGTTGGTACATGTACATAACATATCTTAGTTCTTTTTATTCCCCTTCCTTCCCTTACCTCTCACCCCTCCTTGTTCCCTTTGCATTTGAACATTTTCTTCCTTATTTCCAGTATTTTATACTTGGCTATTGCTTAATACTTGATTCTTAATAATTACATCTTTCCCATAGAAAATAAAATGACCCTAGAAACTGATTATAGGGACAGTGCTCTGTTGTTTTAAGGACAGGGACATTGACTTTGGATCCTGACAAACTGAAGTTAGAATCCAAGACCCAGTAGTACTTCCTAGCTGCCTGACCTCATGTAAGTTAGAGAACTTCTGAGCCTTAGTGTCCTCATATTTAAAACACTTACATAAAGTCCATCATACATGCTTTAGAGAATGAGGTGGTAGATGTAATTTTTTTGACAAAACCCTCTAACTAGAATATGAAAAACATCCAGTTAGCAATAGCTATTCCTTTCTCCAAAGGTTATTGTAGTTCCTTCAAATACAAAGACAGTATATCTAAGCCACCACTGCTTCATCCTTACACTCTTGGACTTGGAACCTGTGTGACAGAAGGCTTGTCTGTACAGAACAGCTGAAGTAAAGAGTGTATTATATGATCAGCCAACAAAATGAAGCTTATTGGCCCTCAAAGGATTCAACACATGACCTTGACCTCTTTCTTATTGTTCATAACTTAATGAGATCCTTAGCCTCAGACTGTGAAGATTTACTGACACATTAACGTGTATAGTTTAGTACCTCTGCAGTGTGTTTTAGATATGATATTAAATCACATGATGGAAAATACACTTAAAATGTGGCTACATAGACTTCAGAGAATCAGAAGATTAAATTTAGCAGTTCTAACTGCCAGACTAGGTCACCTTCTTTGACCCAGGATATAATGTAAGCCAAGCTTACTTTACACTGTGAAAAACACGAGCTAATTGTGCATATCAAAGCAAGTTCTTCAAGAAGAGAGTGAACTACAGTACCTTTCCCCTATTTGAGGGAATAGAGAAGGAAGGGCAAAGCAGAGAATCTCTGGAGACTTGTGTGCAAGTTTGCTTCTGGCTAAAAGTTAATGATCAGTTACTTCTGTTCTCAGCTCTGAGCCCTGAGAAAGTAGCAAACTCAAGTTTTCTCTCTATTCAGGTAACTTTAAAATTATACAAACTGTACGCATGTTAACTATACTCTATAAATGTATTTTTTTCATGCCTGTAATGTCATCTGATATCATGTTCTAAACTTATTCAAATAACAGATTTCACACTTGAAGTATATCAAGTTAGTGTTAATGAGTGTATCTGTATTTGTGTTAAGGAAAGACATTTTTTAAATGTTTTAACAAAACTAACTTTTGTGGTTTTTTAGTACTACTGACCTACTGGCTGAAAGATGTGCTAGTCATAATTATTTAGAATAATATAGTACATTACTGAGTCTGCCAAATCTTGCCTAATAAGGAAAAATTAAAAATCTTTATCACTGAAATTCTACAAAGAGTAAGAGTGAATTTTAATCACTAAATATTACTTTTACTTGACATGTAACTACTAAGTGGCCTTATTTTTTATTCCAAATTGTTATTTATGAATATCAATGTGTCCTTTGCTGAAAAAATAGTAAAAATAAATAGATTTTTTTCTTACTATGTGAATTACATAATTTGGTCCAAAATAACTGGTATGGTGTTATGGCAAGCTATGAATATGTTGTAGAGTTATATTTCAGGAAGTAAAGACCTTGTTAAGTCAATTACAGTCTTCAAAACTACTTTATGAAAATAAAGATATTCCATACATTTACAGAATAATGTTCTGCATCATGGTTCAACATAGAAAGCATATTGCTAAAGTCACTGGATTACAAATTCAGTGGATTTATATAGAGAGTTTTGATTCTTTTTAAACTGCATGATCACTATTTTCTTTATTCAATATACATTCAAATCTAAGAAAACTTGTTTATATTTAGACTCAAAAAATAAGGACAAGTCAGCATCAAAAGCTAAATATTTTTGTGGTAATACATATACAGTTTTCCATTTATGTTTTTCTGAACTAAAATGAAATGTTCAACAATATTGATGACTTTGCAATTAGAATTTGGAGCTGGTAGGAAACTAGAAGAATATCAATTTTATATCTAGGAACTGGACCCACAGAGAGGAGATAACAACAGTTACTGGGAGCATTGGGACTAGAATCAAAGTTTGTATTCACTAGGTGACAGTTTGAGTTAATAGTTTTTTAGCTATTGCTCATGCTGTTTTTGAAGGGGAAAACATTTTATTCCTTAATACATTTCAATTTTGAAATACGACTAGATAAGCATGCCAGTAAAAATTTAGTTATGTAGTGATATTTTCCAGATTTACCCTTGGCATTTCTAATTTTGTTTTAGTTCAATTTATATAATTCCATCCTTCTGCCTGGATTTGCTTGGGTACATTAAGTTCTGTTTACAAAATTTAAGGCTTTAGAGGAGAGTATAGCCAGTTCTTACTTTAACAAACACTGAAGATGTCCTGAAAAATATAATTTTTTATAGGTTAAATTTATGTAAGGTGCCTACAGTTTTACCAACTAAAACATTTAAATTGGGAGTGAAATGAAAATATGTAAATAAAATTTCATCAAAAGTTCTAAACAATTTATACAGAATCTAGGCTAGAACAATTATTTGACATGATTTATCTTCATAAAATTCTAAGCAATCCATATAGAATCTAAAGATAGATTTCACACAATTGTAAAAATGTTTATTCTTACAATAAACTGGCTTTTAAAAGTTGGATATATATATTTCTTATTATGTTTTAGTACACTTCTAGCAGTTAGTATTAATATTCAGAAATTGTATTGCACACATAAATAATTAGATCCTCTTCTAATTCATGATGGCCTTTAGATATTCACTTCTCAATTTCTTGTCGAGAATACACATATCAAGTTACTGTAAACATTTTTTCTTTCTCTTTAGCTCATTATTAAATATCTTTTATGAATTACTGAAATGCTAGCTCTTTGCCTATTATCCATTGGTACTAATGCACACACACATGCACATGAGCTCAAGAGTTAATATTCTCTAAATGAGAGACAAACAAGCTGTCAAGGCTTTCAATGCTATATGATGGGTTGGAAAACCTCAATTAACATCTGAGTAGCTCAGTTAACTTGCTTTGCAAATCATGGGTAATCACATAACCTGTAAGAGCCCCTGTTAAGTGAGCTCTGAACAGGGGCTACTGCTGTAATGAATATTTGTTTAGTGTGAGTCATATGAATTTATATAAGGATTGACATGGTAGATTGTAAATCCTTCCTGAGCACTTTCTAGATCTGTCATAATAAACTACTACAACTTAGGTTGTTTAGAACAACAGAAATTTAGTCTTACTCAGTTTTGGAGCCTGAAAGTCTTAAATCAAGATGTCAGCAAGGCTGTTCATTTTTGAAAGCTTCTGGGGATGGATTCTTCTTTCAGCTTTTGGTAGACCCAGACTTTCCTTGGTTTTGACAGTGTAACTCTAGTCTGTGTCTCCATTTCCTTGTGACATTCGCCCCACGTTTCTGTGTTCTATTGCTGTCTTCTTATAAAGATGTCTGTAATGCTTGCATAGATGCCACCTACTCCAGCATCCCCTTATCTTAACCAGTTACAGCTGCACTGCTATTTGCCATTGTCTGGATCTGGAATGCCCTTCGAAGACCCATATGTTAGAAGATTGACCTCTAGCTTGGCACTTTTAGGATGCAGCAGAAACTTGAAGAAATGGCCTGGCTGGAGGTGATTATGTCTGTAGGCAGCCCCTGAAGGGAATGCTGGGACTCAATCCCTTCTTCCTCTCTTTAGCTTCCTAGGTATGAGGTGAGCAGTTCCCCGACAGACACCACCACCATGATGTGCTGGCGCAGCTCAAAGTAATGAGGCAATTCCATCATGGATTGAAACCTCTGAAACTGGAAGCCAAAGGAAACTGTTCTCTTTACAGGTTTATTGTATCAGGCATGTGTTGTAGTAATGGAAAGCTGACTTTCCAAGTATGGTCACATTCTGAGATGTTGGACGTTGCTTCCGCATATCTTTTTTGAGGGCTACAATCCAACCCATCATAGTCCCCTGCCCAATTCAAGTTCTTCTCACATTCAAGATACACTAATCTGATCACATCATCTGTATATGTTTCAGTCTTTCCAGTATCAATTATAAGTAAAAATTCTAGCTCAGTTGTGACTGAGATTACCTATCCTATGACAAAATTCTCCATCTGTGGACCTGACAGTCCTTGGAAATAAGTCATTTACTTCCAAGATGCAGTGAGTAGCTAGAGAAATAATTTATTCCAAAAGGGAAACAACCTAGCAAGGAAAATCCCAGTACATTATAAGGCCTAAGAATAGTTCTCTGTGGTTTGGTGCTTTGTCTTCCAGGCCTACTGGAGTGGTCTTGATCTTTTATACCTGGGCAGCATCTGTTTCCCCTTCAGCCCTGGGTCATGGCCCTGCTCCTTAGAACCAACAAGGTGACCTCATGCTCTGAAACTGAGAAAATTCCTTACTGAAGGAGTTTGCATCTGTGATTCTCCCTTGGGTCATTCTTCCTTTGTTTCACTCAGTGTTTCTTTCAGTGCAAGCTGGCCGTACTGTATTTCTGCTGGTATAAAAATTTTTAAAATGTCAGTCTCTTGTGCAGTGGGATTGAAGCCATTAGATAGGAGAGTCCTTCATGGATCTTTTCTATACTGCGTCTCTGTTCTCATTTCATGGCTTCATACTGTGTTCTTATATATGTATGCTTCCATATAGTATTTTATAGTTTTACAAGTTCCCAGGTTATATATTTGAATCATACTAAATTCTTCTAAAAAGCTATGTCTTAATTAATATGTTTGAAATGATAAGGCTCAAATATATGCCTTCAGCTCATTTATTCTACTTTTTGCATAGACTAACTTAATTTGGTATAATTGTAAAAAGTTTCAGGACATGTAACAACTGTAACCTCAGTAAATGAATTCTCTTGGCCCATGTCTCCTTTTACCTTTGAACTCCAAACAATTTTTTAAGCATTAATGATCACATACAACTTCTCTGGTAGTTCAGAGACATTCTCTCCACTCAGGGATTTGGATTCCAGTCCCAACACTGGCACTTAGTGGGGAGATTCAGCTAATCACTATTAACATCTAGTGATGTTTTCTTCCACCCTTTGTCTTACGCATTTTTGTCTTATTTATTTTATTAACATATTAATTGTACATATTAAGGTGGGTTAGTGTGAGACATATATGCAGTATATACTGATCAAGTTGATCCACTATTTACCCCTCCCTCACATCCTTTCCAATACTTATTAATGGCTATTTCACTTTTAGGTCAGCCTTTTTTAGCTTTTACATTTGAGAGAGAATATGCAGTACTGGACTTTTTGTGTTGGCTTCTATCACTTATTGTTCTCTCCTTTCATCCATTTTGCTGCAGATTAACAGGATTTTTTTCATTTTTTGCCTGATAATATTCCACTGTGCTTATATAGCACATTTTATTCATTCATTCATTCATTCATCTGTTTGTGTGCATGTAGGCTGATAATTATCTTAGCTGTTGTGAATAGTGTCACAATCAACATGAGTATTCAACTATCTCTTTGGTATGCTGATTTCATTTCCTTTGGATATGTACCCAGAAATGAGTTAACTGAATCATGTGGTAGATCTATTTTTAGTTTTTTGAGGAATGCTCACACTCCTCATAAGGGCTATGCCAATTTACATCCCCATCAGCCATGTATAATGTTCCTCGTGCAACCAGATGTGGTAGCACAGGCCTGTAATCCTAGAACTCTGAGAAACTAAGGCAATAGAATTGCAAATTCTAGTCTAGCTTGATTAATTTAGTGACTTAGCAAGTTCCTGTCTAAAAGTAAAAATAAAATAAAATAAAAATGAAGAACTTGGGATATAGGATATGACTGTGCAAGGGCCCTGGATTCAGTTTCCATTACCACAGGGGGGAAAGAAAAATTCTTTCTCCAGCATTTGTTTTTTTTTTTTTTTCTTATTTAATTTTTTCTTTCTTTTCTTTTACACTAGACATTCCTGGATGTATTGCCCCGATGGTTAATGATTCATTCACTTTAATTCA